TGTACCTGTTTCGTGGTTGTCTTGGCATGCTTGACAGACAGGGAACAGTGTGAGTAAATCTCATGCTGAGTTTCTATTTCGACGAGTTTCTTCGGTTGGTTTGTCTGGGGTGGATGGGACTGCGTTAGGACTATGTTAGATAAAGTGCAGCATTTGTGCACACTGCTGCAATAAAGCAAGTGTCTGCATGAGGCTTCAGGGGCTCAACTGTGCATAGAGGACAAGCTGACAGTTCCATCTGCCTCACAATTTCTCCACAGATGTCCACACACACTTACCCGTACACACACACACACACACACAAGCATGCACAGCAGAGCTGTTTTGTTCAACCCATCACTCATTACAGTGCTGTCTTTCTTTGGCATCCATTTCTGGCAGTGTCATACAGGTCAGCAGCAAAAAGATAGACGGGTTTGAGAGAAAACTAAAGCCGCCCACCCGGTTGTTCTTCCCCATTAGTTTAACAAACTACTGAATGTTTGAAAAGGCTATGAGGATTGCAGCAGCTTAAAGGAATAGTTTTGTCATCATTTACTCACCCACATGTCATTCCAAACTTGTATGCTGTAATTGAATGAGAGTTCATAGTGACCACTAGTGAAGATCAAAAAATGATAACTTCTATTTGCAGAGTGATGTTCCAAGAGGACAGTCCATCAACACTGGGGCATACCACTGTTTGTATCACTCCACCTGTCTGTGTTTGAGTGTTCCAGATAAACTGAGCATTGGTGGTGGGGATTTTTCAGTGACTCTTTCTGCAGATTACAGTTACATCCATATGGTAGTGACAAGAGACTGTCTTTATTTATGAGTCATTGAATCGTTTATTTAACCGATTAGTGCAAAGCACTAATCCATTCAGAAACAAAACATGTCACTGACATGTGTCATTGCATTATTCACTCAACTGATCCATTATTATCCATCGATCTTACCCGAGTCAGTGATTTATTGTAGCTCAAAGATCTATTACTCTGATTTCTGCTGTTGCTTTGTTTGAACTATTTTATTGGCAAATCAAAAATAGACAAAGAAATTGGCAATATGGTGTCTAAAATGTAAGTTAATCAATATTAATTTTCTGTTCATTAAATTGTTGTACATACATATGCACACAGTATTCAACTGTGGGTTGTGGGATGACGTGCTGTTTAATTAAACAAAACTTCTGATTAAAATCAAATTCCGTTTTTGTTTTGTTTACAGTGTATGTCTATTTTCTTCAGTCTTATTGTACATTGCATCTTGGTATACATACACACATTGAGACAATACCTGCTTAAAGGGATAGTTCACCCAAAAATTAGCATTCTGTCATCATTTACTTACCCTCAAGTTGTTACCAACATGTATGAATTTCTTTCTTTTGATGAACACAAACACAAAATATTTTGAAGAAACTTAAATTTCTGGTCACCATTGATTTCCACTGCATGGGGAAAAAAAATCTGTGATTATCGACTTAAATTTTGGTCTGTTTCTCATGCAAAGCTACCATGTCTTTGGAAGACCTGGAAAATAGTTCACACGATGTGGAGGGCCTTTGTGGTGTGTTTTTGTCCTTTTTCGAACTTGAGAGCCATGGTCTACAGAAATAAAACAACATACAAGTTAAAAACATAAAGTAAATAATGACAGTACTTTCATTTTTGGGTGCACTATCCTTTTAACAACATCCTACAAAGGACTGAGTTGCTGTCAGTTTAATGAGGACATTGGAATGAGGAAAAAGGTGAGGGAAGGGTGAGATGTCCTTCACTGGGTGAAGAGCATGAGAGTGGGTGTGTTGGGAGAGATGTCAAAGGAAACAAGGGCCACATGGCGCTCACGCTGCTTCACTCAGCATGCTACTGCACAGACGCCTTGACAGGAACTTCTATGCAAGGTTAACAAGATGCAAAATTATGAACATACAGAACGGGTCATTCTGTCTTTCTGCATAGCATGGGACCGAAGCAGAGCTCTCCTGAGATTTCAGACACCACAGCACTGCAGGCTTTGCAGAAACAGCATTCACACCGGCACCATTGATTTCCACTGCATGGGAAAAAAAATCTGTGATTATCGACTTAAATTTTGGTCTGTTTCTCGTGCAAAGCTACCATGTCTTTGGAAGACCTGGAAAATAGTTCACACGATGTGGAGGGCCTTTGTGGTGTGTTCTTGTCCTTTTTCGAACTTGAGAGCCATGGTCTACAGAAATAAAACAACATACAAGTTAAAAACATAAAGTAAATAATGACAGTACTTTCATTTTTGGGTGCACTATCCTTTTAACAACACCCTACAAAGGACTGAGTTGCTGTCAGTTTAATGAGGACATTGGAATGAGGAAAAAGGTGAGGGAAGGGTGAGATGTCCTTCACTGGGTGAAGAGCATGAGAGTGGGTGTGTTGGGAGAGATGTCAAAGGAAACAAGGGCCACATGGCGCTCACGCTGCTTCACTCAGCATGCTACTGCACAGACGCCTTGACAGGAACTTCTATGCAAGGTTAACAAGATGCAAAATTATGAACATACAGAACGGGTCATTCTGTCTTTCTGCATAGCATGGGACCGAAGCAGAGCTCTCCTGAGATTTCAGACACCACAGCACTGCAGGCTTTGCAGAAACAGCATTCACACCGGCATCAAACGTGAGTGGATGGCAGCGTCAGCTGGAGATTGCACTTGCAGTGGGATTTGTGTGAAAATGGAAAGGTGTGCTCGCAACTTGTTGTCTTTCACTTTCCATCATCACAGTAGCTGCTTCTCCCACTTGAAGGACAGAGCAAATTAAGACAAATTAAGCATCTCCCCTGCCATCCAAGCCTAAAGTGAACCAAAGTGATTTTAATTCCATTGAAAAGCATTACTTCAGAGTTATTACTTCAGGTTAAAATCTAAATGTCTTTTATTTCAATTTTCCATAATGTTCTCATAAAGTTAATAAATCTGGGCTCGAGAAGGGCAGTTTCCAGTGCCATTTAAAATCTTTATCACAATATGCCATCAAAATGGATTTGATTTGTGTGTTCCTCCATCCGTCTGGTTATTAATTCAATATTGAAACAGGAAATATGATTTTCGTCCTCTTTGGTCAGCTTCAAACAGCCATTGTATGAAATAACTCTAATGCTCTCGATCTCATTGTCATTTCCTATCAGCCCAAAGACCGGAATGATGTAATTTACATCTCATTGTCCTGAGAAAGAAAAGAGAGGAGAAAGTCACGCTTTTCAATTTGAAAGCAAGCATTTTTTTTGCTCTGTAAATTAAAGAAAGGCGGCTCTACCGATGGCTTCAGCCCTTCAGGTGCCTGACAATCACTGAATCTGGAAAATTGCTCTGCCTCCCAAGAGTACCATGTACTCTCTAAAACAGCCAGAGACGTCATTATCCCACTCCTTTTCCCATCTGTAGGTCGACTAGATATATCATACCGCAAAGAGCGAAAAAAGAAAAAAAAACTGCAAATTGGCGAGAGTGAATGTGTGAAAGCAATGCATTACAGAGATGCTCTCTTGTTGTGTAATAAGATAATTTATGCAAAATCATGCATAATGAAAAGTGATTCAGGGTGAATAATAATGAGGCCTTTGCAGAATAAAATTGTGTAGGATCTAAAGATCAGCAGATGATTAAAAAAAAAAAATGTGTGAAAACACCTCTCCTCCAGTGAGGTGCCTTTATTACTATGGGATCTCATTGCTTGCTATGCCGCAAAGGGGAGAAAATAACAAACTTAAAGCCCAGTTCAAGTAGAAGAAAATTAGAAAGGGGCAAATTAGCATCTTATATAACATTATCAATTCCCACTAAGAGCACTTTATGAGGACATATACCCATCATTGCTGTAGCTCAAGATTTCTTGATTTAGGTTGAATAGTCTCCTAGCAACCGCTGTGATGAAAATAAAATAAAAAATAAAATAAAGTTGAGCAAATGATCTATTATGGCCTAATTTTGTGCACTGTAAAAATGCTTTTGTCATTGTGTCAGATTTGTATCCCTCCAACTTAAAGTTGTCAAAAACAAAGTCCAATTAACTTATCACTACAAAACTTGTATTTTTATTAAAAAATTTAGTGGAGTTACTTTTTAAGTGTATAATATTTCAAGAAAATGTGGTGGAATGGTTTCTTACTCTAATGATCCTTGTTGAGATTAGTTATTATAGCCAAATGCAAATGAGAAAAAAGGCCTACTTTTTCCCCTATCCATTTTGTTGATTACATTGAAATATGATCTATATATATATATATATATATATATACCTTCACATGTAATAAACGCCTAACAAAAGCTGCATAAGAAACAATGACAAATCATGTTATAAATTCTAGTCAACACAGGAAGCCATTTTTATGGACATTAGTCACGGTTACCATTTTAATCAAAACATTGCAAACAGATCCAACATTTATTCACAATTGCTTCTACAAAGGACTGATTTTAATTAACAAATGTTCAATAGAAGCTGATTAGGTGTGTGCATTTGTTTGGAATAAAAAATGAGCTAATCACAGTTCTAGTCAAGAACGACAATGAATAATGAATAACGACAGTGCTGTTAGCGCGTTGTCCCGTTCAATTAGAACCGACACTTCATTACAAAAGTACAGAAACAGCGTCCTCTACTGGTAGACTAGCAGCAGAATATCAAAACAAACGTACTCGTGCAGATAGTTACTCTCTAAACATTTGTAAAACTAATACCTGCACGTATGTTTTTTTTTTTTTAATTAGATACAACCAATCTTTATTGCCATTTTTATGTGTTAAAATGTACAGGAAATAAAGAATATGGGCTACATATAGTAGCCTATCTCATATTAGACAAAAAGAAAGGTTCTTTAATGGCATCTGTGATTCCAAGAAAAAACGTTTAACATGTGTTAAAACTTTCCATTGCACAAAAAGGCTCTTTAGATTTTTTTAAATGTTCTTCCCAGTAAGAAAATATGTTTTTTTTTAAAGAACTGATCACTGAAAGTTTCTTTGGGGAACCCAAAGTTGTTCTTCTATAGCTTCGCTGTGAAAACCACATTTTGGAACCTGTATTTTTAAGAGCGTATGAAAGAAGACTGAAAAAGCTATATTGATATATTGAAAATATTATTAAAAAAGAACAGTATGTACAGTATATACATTTCATCTCACAGAGCTCACTCCATTGATTCTCCATCACTCTCCTGAGAGTGAAACTGACAGTGCTCTGAAGGATCCGTCATACTCCCCTCCAGACAGTGTCCCTCCTGAGCGTAGTACTCAAACTCAGTCTCTTCTCTCCAGGACATCTCCTCACTGTGGTAGCCCTCCAGATCCTCAGCATTAGCGTGACTGAGAGCTAAGCTCAGGATTTCTTTCTTCTCCTTATAGAAACGGAGCTCCCTGCCGGTTCCCCGGGCCTCCCCCAGCTCCTTCACGGCCAGCTGCAGCTCTTGGGAGAGCAGGCCGGGGGATTGCTGCTCCTTCTGTAACCAGTCCAGAGCCATGTGGCTGCGCGTACGCTCGTCCAGATGCTGCTGGGAGTAGTAGAGGATCACCTCCTGTAAATGATGCATTTGAACAAGATTGAGAAGGTGTGACATATAATTGACAGAACTGGATCTATGGACAGTAGGCTCATAGTCCCACAACTCTAACCTCATAGCAACATACTAATAACTGCTCAGAAAGCCTTAACAAGTGCATAGCAACACTCAGGCAACCACCCACAACACCTACAGCATCATGACAGTAAACATTGCACAGCAACAATCACATTTTCCTCAGAAAAGACTAGAAAAAAACTAGTGAATTCTTACCTGGCGGCTACATCTCATCTCCCGAAAAGCCTTCAGAGTGCCATTCCAGTGCAGAAGTTGAAAAACAGTCATAATTTCCTAAAAAAAAAAAAAAAAAAGGAAAAGAAAATAACAGACAAAAAGTTATTATAATAACTAATATTATAACTAAAACGCCTGTTTGTGTTGATATGTATAGTCAAAGTTCATTTAAAATATAGCCCATTTAAAAGTATAAAAAAGTACTTTTAAATGGACTATAAATATATATATTTTAAAAAAAAAGTATAGTGCAGTTACTTATTTATTTATTTAGTAAAATATATAATTTTCATATTAACCTATCAAAGTATGAGGACAAAACATTTGGTACAATTACCAGAACTAAAAGATCTGCAGCATAATCAAATTCCTGGAGACATCATCACATGGTTTTTGTTTTTGAAGTATGCTGATCATATTTAACACATTAGTGTCTAAACAGTTGGCGTATTGCTTTAGCATTTCTTCTTCACTTCAGACTGATGTCATACTGAGGATTACTGTAGACTTATATGTGAAACAGAGCCTCATTGTGCGTACAGCATGTGAGTGATATTTTTTTTTCTATACACATAAACAGGTGATCTTCTATAGGCTCTGGAGAACATCCACAAATAGATTTTGGTGCAGTGTCTGTAAGAGTATCCTGCCACACAAGTAGCCTTTTTTGCTATTTGTCCTGTTTTCACACTTTTGACAGAATGTGTAGCATGAGTAAAGTTCTGACAGATTAAACATTAAAAGCATTTCCTGGCAGCTTTTATGAAAAATCTGCATGTGAAACATCAGCCTAATTATGGAGTTTTTAATACTAATAAACACATAATATGTAACAATTTATCACAGTGTAGCTGAAGCTTTCAAGCTTCAAAGAGGACACAAAACCCATAACCGTACACTGTAAATAGGTTGCTGTAAATTTTACAGTAACTTACTGGCAGCTGGATGCCAGTAATTTACTGTAAAAATGTTTACAGTATTAGTACTGTAATTGCATTTACAGTACAATAATGTCTTTACTGGCTAGCTTAAAAAAAGGGTATCACCACAGTCCCCTGTGGACTTTGTATTATGGAAAAACATACACATACTGAAAAGCAAAAATTGGCAAGTACACTACCAATGAAAAGTTTTTGAACAGTAAGATTTTTAATGTTTTTAAAGTCTCTTCTGCTCACCAAGCCTGCAATTATTTGATCCAAA